AGGCCCTGATCCTCGGGGCATGCCTGGGCAGCTGCTGGTCTGTTTTCTAGTGTTTTCGGCATGACCCCCACATCTGGGTTTTCCCCATCTTGAAGCCTGACGTGATCAGATGGCTTCACTGCGTCAAACATGGATTTGCTGGTGGCTTCCAGCCAGTTTGAAGGGCCTCTGGGGTACAGGAGAAAGGTGGTGGAAAGGCTGTGGACCACAAGAGCTCTCCTTCCCCCACACACCAGAGCACCCCCACCAAGGGGAAGTTTCACTTGGCACCGGTCTTTTTGCTTCCTGGTGCTTTTCCCTTAGCTCCAGAGCCGAGCAGCCTGTCCCGTAGCCCCTGGGAGGCAGGTCCTCTCCGGTGGCACCTCCAGCTGGTGGAATCCCGGGCATCCTCTGGCCGGGGATGCTGTCCCGGCCACGGGCAGGGCCGCAGTGCCCTCTCCTGGCCCTGCAGGCGCTGCGAAACACAGCCAGGAATCCTCCAGCCACCAGTCATTCTCTGCAGCTGGTGGGATCTGCTTTTTCTATTATTTTGTGGTCAGTGGGACACTATTTAGGTGCTTTGTTCCCCAAACAGCTGCGGGAGCAAAGCCCTTCAGCTGGGTACCCTTAGCTGCAGTGATGTGCTGTGCAAGCAAGAGAGAAGACAGCCTCCTTATTAAGCTACTCAAAATATGTCTGCTACCCAGAAAGAGAAAAAATAGGGGAGGGATCACAGCATCAACACTCCTTTCTGCTGTGGAAATGAGTCCATCTTCTCAAGGCAAAGGCAAATTTGCTTTAACTCTGTCCTGAGACGACCACTTCTAGATGCCAGCAGATATGCTGCTCTTTTTTTTTTTCCATGGCCATCAATGAAGGATCCATATGCACCTATCTTCGCTGTATGCATGTATTCCTCCATTCCTGCCACCAATGTTTACTCCCCTCTTGGAGGAAGATAAGCTCCACAGATAGCAATTTATAGAGTATGGCTTTTGGATGGGCCCTGAAAGCACAAACTGCAGAAAGGTGTTACAAAATCCCCCACTGTTTTTTTCTAGCAGCAAGGATTTATACCAGTTCTTCTGGCCAACTGTGCCTCTCCGTGCCAGGAAGGTCCCCTTGTCTCCACCTGCAACGGCCGCTTTTCTGGGATGTTACTGAAGTGCACCAAGAAGAAGGGGTTTTCTTCGGAAGGGTGAATGCACTGCAGTGCAGCTCTCTTCTAGCAAGGCTGGGGAGGCAGCAAGGTCTAGCAGGGACCGAGGTGGAGAGCTGCGAGCTGGGGCATGGACCACACGCCCCCCTGCCCCCCGGAGCTGCGCCCCGTCCCTGCCGCCCGCCTCCCCGCCCGGGCACCCTTCACCTCCGCAGAGCAGAGCCGTGCTCCGCCAGCACCCACTTGTGGAGGCCGGGAAAGCTGCACCGCAAGCCGGGCTGCCCCGGGCAGGACCCCCATCCCCGGGCAGGACCCTCATCCCTGGGCAGGACCCCCCACCCGCCGGCC